CTGCTGCTGCTTTACTCTGTACTCATCTATACACCATCATCAACATTGATTCTCTCTCTCTTTTTTTTGAAATATATTCCCCTCATTTTAACAATCAATTTTAAAAGAGCGAATTGCAAAGTAGCATATCTCCGAACCCCAACACAACAAACCGTACGTGCCCTAAGGTAAACCTCAGTCTGAGCCAAGGGTAAGTTCAAGCCTCGAGGTCACTGCCTAAACTTTGTTAGATTTCAACTTGCAAGAATAACAGTTTAATGTCTACTCGATCCCTCATCGAGGACGATCGCTAGCGATGTGTACCGACAACCAACGAGGTTGTAGCGAATGAATGTTATATGTATAGACATACATAAATGATATTTATTGTTTATGTACGTATGTACATAAATGTGCATACTACAACATCTGCGATGATCGATAACCAGCAGATTGTTCGTTGACACATGTGTTGTTATTTGCGTTATTAATATCTACTATTTGCTGCTGTAAAATCGGTTTTGTAGCGTTTGCGTTGAGTTCGTTTAATGATCAAAGCGAGGGCGACGATGGAACGAGTGAAGTTGCTCGATGAGCATTGATCGAGAATGATGCTGTTATCGCGAGTATTTGATTCTCTCTGAAAGCACTTCTTGTGCCACCGTTGCGCAACAGTGCTTGTTATTATTGCTAGTGCTGAGTTGAAGTGATAGTAGTCAAAATGGGTGGGTATCGTCGCAAATATCGACATGGTTCTGAGAGAGTTGCGATCGACGGTCATCAAGATACGACCGAGTCGTTGGATCAAGACACCAAGTCTGCAGCATTCACAAATACCACCGACACATCCTCATGCCATCGGTCATATACCACGCAACAACGGTCAGCCATTTAATAACCTTCCGTTTCTTATCATCTTATCAGTTTGCTTTGCCCATCTATCATTTGTCGAAAGTGACTTGTACTAGTGACATTAAATATGCTGAATAGCAGCTGTCAGTCAGCAGATCTGCTATTGGTATCCAATAGATCCCGAAATGTGTTTGAGTGTGAAATAAATATTTCATCGAAGTATCCTAATGATATGGCAGATATTAACTGAAAGAGACGAGTCGGTTGGTTTTTGATAATTTGTTGTGATTAGCTGAAATGTATTATTGCCCATGTCGATTACATGAGAATGATTTCTTCATTAAAC